CTTAGACTAGCCCTAACTTCCCTCAAGTCTAATATCATTTATCTTTGTGATACTATATTAATAACAAAGGAAGGGGAAAAGTCCCACTGAGCTCAATAGAGTTTACAAATAAAAGTATGGACAGCATGCTTAGATGTATTTATGTGTAAGGCAATTTATGTCCCACATTATCAACTCTTAATTGGATCCTTAAAGTTCAGAAAACATATAATAAAAACATTAAAACTTTAGGATTGGGGCATAAGGAAAATAGTGAGTTTCTGTTTTGTTTTGCTTTCTTAAGGGCTTTTTCCCACTGGTACCTACCAACAAACATGCCCTAGCAACATCTTTTTTCTGTCTTGGATCCAGAACGTTGCCTTCATCTTATCCCAACCCATGAACAAGGCAGGACTCAATTGCTTTTAGTTGTACTACTATGTTGAAGTAGTATTTTATCACTTAGTCTGACACTGATGAGGGGCAGCCTCATGGTGTATTAAATCTTTTAGCTTTGACACTCATTCCTACAGAGAGAAGTGAGGTCACTGCAGAGGCAGGATCGGGATCAGCAATGGGGACCGAAAATTTCATGCTGTTACAGTTTTCTGCCTCTCAAGGAAGGAAAATGCCACTTCAACTTGGCAAAGGGGAAAGGCCCTAAACTGCAAATTTAAGGTGATCAAGTTAATCCCATTATATTAATAGACTTAAATCACGATTAAGCTTTCACAAGGAGCTTTCATAAAGCTTAGGACAGATACAGCTACCCCTACGAAGGCTGCCTTTGCACCCTTCCGACACGTTTCACTGATTTCTGTGGAATCAATTCGGAGTATAGACGTGCAGCAGAACAGCCGAAGATAAAGCCCGCTAAGCCAGGAGGCTTCAGAAGATGGATGGAGGAGCCCCTGAATTGTTGCATACTGAGCAACGCTATTGCTCTCAGAAAGACGAAATCATAGGATAAATACGGCCAAGAGCAACACGAATCGCTCAGATTACACCCAAGTGAAAAACTTGTCACCGGCTCCCCCTTCTCGCCTCTCCTCTTCTTGCCTCTCGACTTTCCTCCATTATCAGTCTCCCCACAGCTCACCTTTCGAGAAGGGAAGAGCCGGAACGAAGACAATACATCGCGAAAGGCATCGGCGGGCAACTGGAAGCGAGGGCCGCAAGAGCGCGGCTCCTCTTCCTTTCCAGCGCGCGCTTTCCTCCCGTTACTTGGCAACCAGCGAAGCGCGAACTCACCCTCAGTCCGGAGGAAGGAGTCGCCGCCTGATTAGGTGCGCGTGCGCAGCAAGCACGAATCGCTCGAAGTCTCTGGCCGAGAGAAGAAAATTATAGAGCTATACTTAACACGAGTACAAACTTGTATCCTCGTTTGTGGCAAGGCATAAGTAATTGGCCCGTTTGTAAATGGTGGATATAAATCTCCGCCCTGTTTCTAATCTTCAGGATTAACATTAGAGTTCCCTGTAGATCTGGGATATGGAGGGGTTCTCCGAGCTTGTTTCTTTTCTTGCAAACGTTTCATTACCCGGCTAGATAACATCTTCAGTGCTAGAATGGGATGGGGTTTGCTCTCTCTTTATATACGGTGGCATGCCCTGCCAGTGTTGGTGGGGGTGTGGTTTTATTTTGTTTTATTTTTTCTTCTGGTAGTTCCTTGATTAGGGTATTGTTCACTGCTTGATTGTGTGCTTGGTGGTAACCGCTGCTTATCTGAGTGATGATTGCTGATGAGGAGATGTTGTGGTCTTTTGTTTTTTCTATTGTCTCTTTTGAATAGTGTGTAGAGGTTGTTTATCTCTATGTGCCTGTTGATGG